CCCACGCTTAGTCCCAGGCTGGAGATGCTGCTCCATCTGCAGTGAATGTCAGAGCCAAACCGACCGGGCGGCTTCTGGTGCAGTGGGAGCCCAGGGTGTTGTGGGCTGTGCGTTGTGGGTTATGGGTTGTTTCCCCAGGCTGTCTCAGGCCACAGGGTTTGCATTGGCTGGTTTTTGAAGCTGCTGACCTTGTAGCTACAGGTGACCCTGTTCGAGTTTGAAATCGGTGTCTTAGCTCTGGGTCTCACAGTAACTCACGGGAAGGCAGAGTGACCGGCAGTGCTGGTGGTCAGAGCAACTAGAGTCACTAACTGAATGAGAGCCTGCGTGGGCCACCCAAGTCCCACCTTTCCTCAATGACCAGCCCATCCCAGCCGGGTGGTGGTTTCTGGGTGGTGAGTTACCTGCACCTAAGGTGGCAATCCCAGCGCTCCTGCTCCGATAGGAACCCCAGGTCTGCTTGAGCTCAGGGTATGGCTACTTGGTCTGGGGAAGGAGGGTGGGGGCACCACTCCTTGAGATTGTAGAGTCCCGAATTCACTCAGAAGAAAAACGGGGTTTTCACTCCCGTAAAGAGTTAGTCTCAGACCCCCCACAGGGTCACGGTGAATCGACCTCCCCTCCGTGGAAGCGAGTTTCCTTTGGGTCCTGGACTTCGCTGCCGGAAGGAAACCGCCATCTCCAAGCCTGTGGTTACTCGGGGCCCTTTTCGGGCACTTGCAGTCCACTGGGAGGTCCTGCTTCACTGTCCCCCTGTGTGCACTAGGCCTTGGAAGCAGGACCCCCGCTAGTACCCTGGCAGGGATGTCACTCATTCTGCGTGTGCGCTGCCTGCGTGCATCTGCGTGCCTTCTGTAAGCGGGGCGTGGAGGCCACGACTCGTGGGGCGACTTTACATGAGCGCCAGGTGGGCACATCGGTGCTCCGCGTGTGCTCTGGGAAGGGGGCTTTGTGTTCCGCATGGCAGGCGAGAGCATCGGTGGCCAGTAAGTCCCGGGCAAGGGCGTCTGGTGCCAGCCTGTCATCCGCAGGCCAAGTGGAGGGTCGGATGAGGAGTCGTGGTTGAGGGCGTGGCAGGCACTGAGAGCTGAGGCTTGGAAGTGGAGCTATGTCGGTGCTGCAGGGGGTAGAGGGGGGTCTCCCTTCAGATTCTGGAGAGCATAAGTATTTGTCTAAATTCCCCCAGGGAGGCGCTGCGCAGCGGGTCCGGATGCCGCTGAGGGCGTAGCGCTGGGCTAGACCTCAGGCCTGAGCCGCAGGCGGAGCCAGGCGCGAGCTCAAGCGCTCCGGCACCGCCTCAGACCGAGCCCCTCTGCGCGTCAGCGCGCAATTCGCAGCCGATTCGGTGCGCACTATGCGCAGCGATTCGGTGCGCACTGTTCTCGGCGCAGAACCCATGAGAACACGCCGTGGCCGCGTGGCGCGGCGCCCTGCCGGGTGCAATCCGGGCCGTGGCCGCATAGCCCACCGCCTTGGGAAGTTGTGCGCCTTTGGCTGGCAAGCGCAACCCCAACCCAGGCTCGGACAAGCTCGCCAGCACGGCTGTAGCTATAGAACCATACTTGACAGTTTAGGACCAGTCTTGAATAAAGACATTCAGGAGTCCTCTTCTGACCAATGACGCCGCTCGGACGGGCAACGTCATGCATCCTGAACGGGTCGGAAAAGCAGCGCACCGCCCCAGCTGCCTTCCTCCTCCGCCACCGCTGCCGAGCTCGCCGTGCCAGTGGCCGCAGCTCACGACTTCCTGACTGAGGCACCATCCCTGGGCGCCCGGCTCCCTCCTGCCCTTGTCTCTAAACACCGCCCTGCTGTCTATGCCAGCTCCTCCCTGGGTGGAGCTGGCTAGGAGTAGCACCCTCCTGCCAGGGCCAGGCCCCTAAGCTCCGCAACCATGCCCACTTTGCGGCCAGGTGGTGGCGTCCTGCCCAGCACCATTGCTCAGGCTGTCTCTGCCTCAAGCCACCCCCTCTCCTCACGCGGTGGCCCCGTGCGGCCTCGGTATGGGGTGGCCGAGGACAGCGGGCTCGCGCGCAGCCAGCCTTGAGGCGTTGCTCCTGAGGGAAGGTGGGCCTCGGAGGCCTCAGGGCTGAGCAGGGAGGGGTGCTCTGGTGCGCCTTGGTCCACTGTCCAGACGGCATGGCCCTCCGTCGCGGGGGCGAGCCTGGCGCACTGTATCATCTGCTGCACGGTCGGCCAACTGACACTTGGGAACACCCAAGGGGTCAGAGCAGATAGGAGGGGCCGCGCTGGCCGAGCGTAAGTCCCTCCTGTCCGAGGCACTTCCTACCAAGCCCTAGGGGACCGGTGAGCATCAGGCACGTAGAGTCATATAGTATCTGAGCGCAGACCTGGAGGGGCGACACGGGGCGCTGCTTCCCGGCCTGGAGCACCCTGACCTGCTCTGATAGCCGTGGTCAAAGGACTGGGCTACACACACAGACAGCTAGCCTGCGGTCTGGCGGACCGCGAGTGCCACGCTGTGGCTGGCAGTGGTGTGGGGCTGCTTGGCGGAGGGATTTTTTCCCGTTTGGATCGCTGTCCCTTTTAGCGAACTGGGTTCGCTGTGCGCCGGGTGGGAGCATGTACCGCGCCTAGGGTGTTTTTGCACAGACTGACGTTTCCGTGGTTCTAGCGTGGCGGCTGCGCGCCAAAGTCAGGTCACTGACTGCCAGGCCATGTGGGCAGACCTGGGCCAGGCCAAGTGGCCGCAGTTCCCTCCTGACTGTGCGCTTGTCCAGGCAC